CAGCAAAAAGGTTAAAACCCCGGCGTTTCGGCCGCCCGCCGTGCCTTAATTCTCTACCTGTAGGGAGTGTTCCCGAGGACGGGGCACGAGGGAAGACACAGGATCCCAGGCTCCGTCTTGACAGGTTTACCACGTCATCTGAAAAGGGGTAAGGAAAGCCCACGCAGCGGTCCAGGGCATGGGGATGAAGGAGGCGGCAATGATGAGAGCGCGTGGTCAGCTGCTGCACATCTCAAGCCAACCCCCTGAGCCGGCCCGTTCGGACATTGTCTTTTACGAATAAATAAGTGAATAAATAAAATCAGCTAGCTCCGTCCGTTATTCACCCTAACCACAATAGGGTGGATTGATGGCTTATAGATGGGGGTTTTGAGGAGATATGGAGAAAGTGTCCTTCCAGATTAATTCAAGGACAGCACTCCAAGGAGTCCGTTACCCATTTTTCAAGCGTTCCTATGTTTATTTACTGAAACAACGGGAGTAATATGACATCATAAATCTTTCTAAAAATTGAAATCGTAGTGCCAGTCTTGAAAGATTAATAATAAGGAACGCCTTTTAGAGTGTGCTCATGGAAATGTAATATGAATGATTAGTGTTTTTGAACATTAGAATTACAGTGTATAATTGTAATGTTATAGCAGCTATATAGGAGCCAGTGATCCCTTAATGGAATACATTGTGAATTTAATTATTTACATGGAAAAACCAGGGCTGATACAGTCTCTGAGTGATAGACCCGCCGTTTCCTACATCCTGCGAGTGTTATGAAGGAGCAGCGTTGCTCTCCATGCAGATACACTCACTCCACATTTGTTATTTTGTTAGTTTTAAATTCTACCCCGCAGTTGACCTCCTTTGTGCTCTAGACCCTACAGAACCCTGGAGCGTCTTTTAGGCTACCTTCCCGCGAGGCCTGCCATAGGTGCCAAAATTCGCCCGACGAGGGTTTTGCTTGCAGGAGAGCGGTGTCCCCGTCGCAGGCTGAGGTTCGTTCTTCGGGCAGGGAGGGAGCTCTCTCCCGCTGAAGAACCAAGGGGCAGCGCAGGCTGCTTTGCCCTGTATTTCTTCTGCAACGGTGGTTTCAAAACTAGTTGGCGGAATCACATCCGGCAAAAGCACGCTTAAAAATATCTATATATGCTTGGGAGACACATCTCCCCAGAGTGGCTTCTGGGCACGCCTAGAAAAAAAAGAACGGGAGCGCTTCAGGTGCTTTTATAATGTCAGTAATGTTAAAAGCAGAGCTTCCGTCACGAGCAAAACGTCACTCCCCTGCACGAAAGGCAGGACCGTGTGGATTCGGTACCTCCGTGTCGGTAGTTCTCCCTGTACGCATTTGCCACCTCGCAGGGCTGCCCCGGGGCGCGGGCGCGTGCCCCTGCGCCTGGCAGCCCAGCCCAGAGGTTTTGCTTCCTCCCGTGAACAACTGATTCGACAGCAAGGGGAAGAAAGAAGGAGAATTTTTTAAATCCTCTCAGCCCCGGTTGAGGGACTCATCAAAGCCATCAGACAGGATTCAGCAGAGTGGAAACCCCTGCTCTGATAAGCCCCCGCCCGGGAGGGCGAGGGAGGCAAGGCTCAGGCTGGAGGTGCGCTCGCTGGCCGCCCCGCGCTCCCTCGTGCTCGGCTCTTGCTGCTGTTGCCGACCTGCGGTGTTACACGTCATTAATGTTAAAAAAAGAGCATCTAACCAAACTGAGCTGTAAGCGATTCACACCTAAACTACAGGCCTTCCTTTTTGCTGGAAAAGAGGTTGTAATTCGGCGAAACATTAATTCCAAAAATTCTTGGTGCGTGATCCTGCGCCTGGGCGCGTGTCTTTTGCGTGCAAGGAACTGTAAAGGCACTGTATAAGAGCACATTTTGTTAACACAGTTTATTGGCACACTTATTGGCAAAGCATACATAAAATGCAGTTGTATTATATAACACACTGACTCACTGTGTCTTTACATGATGAGTTGAACATATTAATATGTAAATGAAAAATTAGTTTCTTTTATAAAGTTTCACATAAATACATCGGAATAAAAAAAAAGAGAAAACAAAAAACGGTTTGAGGGCTTTACAAAAATATTATACAAGAAATATACTATGAAAAGAAATAACAACAAAGCCAACTCAGGTACAATAATAAAAACACAAAAGTTTTAGATTTATTAAGCTGCCCACAAAGTTAATGGATTACATGGCTTTAAAATATCTGGATCGACAGCAATTTTACAAAGCATAAACTCTCATAGGACTGGGTGTCTTTTTCCACATAAAAATATTTTTCATGTCTTTGATGAATAAAAGACATTTCTTGTTTCAGCATTTTTATTAAATGATGGAAAGAGTATCTACTGGCATCAGCTAAATGTAAATTAAAAATGCTGGATCCTTTAAATGATTAACCAATGAAAGAAAAGTTAAGAACGAACAAAAGTTACTTTAAATTACTTTTCCTTAAAAGCTGATTTTTTTCTGAAACAAGAAATTTCAGGTGCAAGTTGAAAAGCAGAAAATATATTACAATTGTAAAAAGTTTTACATAGTTACGTTAATGAGATCCTGAGCACTGATGACTTGTTAAAATATGGCCATTGTTTGATGAGGAAAAAACCAACCCCTTCCGATAAAATGCATTGTCGGAAATTTGCCATGAGATGCTATTTAAATTTCAATTATTTTAATTGAGGTCAGTGCCAGTATCATGTTGTATGTGAATGCTTCCAAGAAATGTATATGGAAGCTTATACAAGAGTTTTCCCTAATTAAAAAAAATCAGATAGCTTTAGTTTAGAAATAGATACTGTATTCGTTGAAAGGTGTTTTTTTAAATGTGTTTTTTTTAAGAATGCTGTGAAACAGTAACTAATAACCCACTGACACACATTGCAGTGGGTGCTGCTGCGGAATAGCCTATTGGGAAGCTTGTGGTGTGGGGTTTTCAGATTTAGTCTCCTGGTTAGCAGGAGGTTTGCTGTTCCACGGGCTGTTATTTCCCAGTGCAGGTGAATTGTTGAAATCTTCTTCATCATCCATGCCATTTGCTGCATCATACTGTGTATTCTCTAATCTAGTGATAAGCCTTTCGTCTTCATCCCCAAATTCGCCTCCCATCAGAGTTGGTTCTCCTACCACCATCACATCCTGTGAACAGCACCCAATATTTGTTATATGGAAACCTTGAGAGAGAAAAAATCAACTTAAAAAAATTATGTTAGAGAATTTGCATCTCTTAACTTTGTGACATTTGTACAACAGAGTTACAAGTTCCTGCATAGTAGGAACCAGGAGACAGGCTTACACTTTATTTCTAACTTAAACGAAGAACTGTAACACAACTCTCTAGCTGCATGCTCATGGCTCTGGATCTCAGAAACCCCAGAACTGAAAAGCAGGTAGACTGAAAAATGTGCATGATTTTAAGCAAATAAGCAGGCTATGAAACTGCCTTAAACTCCTGCTTGAAACTTGAAAATGACTTATCCAGTCATTCTTTCCTGAGCCATTTTATTTGGAAAGGCACCAGGGTGCATCTCAGTTGCAACTTGGTGATAGGCGTATTTGAAAAGTAACTTAAAAGAAACCGCTTTTCTTGTCCTCAGACTTCCCAAATGTGGAGCACAGCACTCTGATAAAGATGGTAACTCTCTTATCCACAGCCAGCCAAGCCCTTTTACGCATCCAATATACTTGACATTCTGCTACTTAATTATGGTAATTAATTTAGGTAAAGTTTCCGATAAAAACAATGTTCACACTGATTTGACAATTTGCATAGCTAATTAAGTCATTAGCAAAAACCTGCTGATTGCCAACAAGCCCTGAATTTACCATCTGTTATTTCATGGTGCCTGTCACCTAACTCCATGTAGGCAACCCTGCCGCCAATCTGTGCAGTAAGAGGACCAATCTGTCCAGCTGGTACCGTAAAAGGAAGATGAAGAGTGCTAATTATAATTACACTGATGAAGCTAGTAGTCATCAAAAACTGAAGCATGCAAGAAAGAAAGAATTCATCTAATCACTGCTTTAAGTACAAATTGTCCTTCCATGAAAACAAGTAAACCGCCTACTGTACTCCAGTGCATCACACATTTGCCACAAAAAAACTAACCAGCGTGGGATAGAAAGGTGCAAACTTGAGATTGGAAAGCAAAGGTGCAAAGCCAGAGAGCTCTCTTGTTCTCTCTGTTCAACGGAGAATCAGGCTGCTGTGCTAACCGCTAAAGAAATACGTGGGACGCATCTTTTCATGCAGCTCAGGTGCAGGGCATCAGCTAGCGTTTGGTAGAAGCGCAGTAACTCCAGATGTCTAGCTTTGTACCTGCTGGTTTAAGCAGCCCTTCCAAGGATCCTAGCGAACAACAGATTCATATTTTAAAGGATCTGTTCCTCCTTATGAATGTAAAAGCATTTGTAAAAAGCAAACAGAAGACAAATGTTTGCCTTCAATAAGGTTTCTTTTTAATCAGATTATGTGCTTCCTTCACCATGAAACAATACAAACTGTTGCCTGTAAGTATTTACAGTGTTTCTCGATATCCCTCAGCAAAGGCTGACATGCACAGAAGGATGTTTATATCACATTTTCAGCCTCTGCTATGTGAAAAATTTGTGAGTAGATGGAAACTGTTACATGAATTCTTCTTTACGTTGTCTATATTTTGTTACTCCATATATCCATAAAATACTTGGTTAAGTAAAATTCACACACAGCTTTGCAACATAGAAGTTTAACAGACAAAGGTATTTATAACCAAAAGTTTATTCTAATTTATTCCGCCCCTCTAAACAACAGACAACAAAGAGCGTGCACTGC